GAGCGAAGAAGAAGATGAAGCGGTGGAGGAGGAGGCGTAGTGGTTGCGCCGTCTGGTCGTACATGTCTATGCAAGGAGCAATCAATTGATACGGCACTTGATCTTTCTTGTTATTGGCTATAATAAATGAACTCACCGCTGCTGGACGTATGCAACAGCACAAAGATAGGCTAATCAATAAACAGTACATATCTTATGTTTATTTATACAGCATAGTTGTATATGATCGTCTCAATGTACTACATAAACCCTCCTTTATGTTGGAGAATCCGTACTATACACACTGGCAAGTCGTTGTTACCACCCCGAACCCGCGCCAAGATATCCGGACTTAATTGAAACCCCATACAAATTCCTTTATATCTGTATATGGGACGAGGTCAAAATATACAGACAACGACGGTGAAATCCGCCACCCTCTGAACGCCATCCTCCATAGTAGTTCTTTTTTTGTTTTCGCGACAGGAAAATCCGTCGCACATTTTTATTGGTAGATAAAACGAATTAATTAGCAAAAAGCAAAGTTGAAAACCTCAACGTCTAGTGGCTGGCAGGCCGCTGTACTGTTGGGCGGTAGCTGGCAAACCAGGGCCGACGTTGTCTCGACAACAACATCAAGTCCTTCTTTTGAAACATGTGCGTCGAAGTTATCGAGTATAAGCACTGATAGTGCCTCGATCTCGAACTTGAGCAGCTCTCGTACATATATAGCCCACACTTTGGCATCCATTAAACTGCTCTCCTGCACTGAGTATACATGACCAACCGGATGTGTTAGTAGCTCCACGAATATCACACTATTCAATAAAGCAATTATATAAAATCAGCAAAATCAAAAGATATTACCGTGCTGCAAACCGCTGACATAGTATCATAAACGCACTTAGACCCTTCTCATCGCTTTCCTTACCAGCAATATACGTTTGAAGCCATCGCGTTTGCTGCTCTTTGAAATATTGAATCAGTAAATCTGTACAAATGCTAAGCAACAAGCGGTTTTAGGTCACAATGTAAAAATAAATTAATAAGAAGACGGTTTACCCATTCTTCTCGTCGCACATCCTTCATAAAGGTTACCAAATCGTGAGAGAAGTGTATTAACGGCGCTGCACTCTGGCCCTTCAAGGTTTTGCTGGTTTGGGCACCCGCAAAGTCTTGGATGTTCTCTTTATCGTCTAGCCAGTCGCGAAGAGTCGTGCGAGGGATATTTAGTGTCTTTGATGCGGCTTGGCAGCTTCCTAACGCCTCAGCAGTCGCGATTGCTTCGCGCTTGGTTAGAATTGTATAGGAGCGCTGAGGCGCCATTTCCAGAGTGATAGAAATTCTAACTATATGTGCTAAGCGGAACCAGTCGATTCAATTTACTCTATCATTGGCTAAAATTAAAACTTGTTCAAATCTTTTATTTTGAACTTCAAGTGTTCGTGGCGGATTTGTATGGTATGGCGGATTTCACCGTCGTTGTCTGTACCCTCATATTTGAGGCCGGGAACTAAGGGGTTAACTCATTAAGGTTTTCGCTCTGACGCAGCTGTTACTTGTTGTCTAATCAAAACGGTTAGTTCACGCGATGGTATTTGTCAAAACTAATGGGCTACTAGTTTGGCAAAAGCTCGCCATTTGACCATTTCCCTTAGTGCCGGTACGTGTACGTTACGCTTACAGATATATTTTAGCTCTTCTAAAAAACCGCAGGCACGTATTCGCTGACCTTCACCCCACCTGCGGCAGGATTTGCTATGAAAGCGCTTAGTGTACATGTACCGGTTTTATAAATTAAAATCCCGAACATTCGCACCTTGCACTGCAAAGTGGTGACTCCTGGTCCGGCTGGTATCGAAAGGATTTGCCCGACTTACAAATTGCAAGTATCAATACTGTAGTATCAATAATTCCAGGTGCAGAAGTCCCCCTAAATATGCGTAGCTTGCACGTCGTATACCCCTTTATATCGGATCTCATTGATTGAAGGTACATCTAATAAATCACAAGCTTTCTGTGATTTTCTTATGAAAACTTATTAGACGGTCACCTCCGCCCTTGTCCACAGCGAACGCCCATGCTCGACGTTTACGGGTAACATTACCAGCAAATCTCATAATTAGTGCTAAATAGACGAAAAAAAGTACCCCAAGCTGATCCAGTTGTATATTCTGTTTGTGAATGACCTGCCTTCATTTACTCCAAAGTGGCCGGTGAGAGCTGTTAATAACATTTCGGTCGAACAGCTCTACCTTTTTGTACGCTGTCGCTCTTCCTATTGCCTTTTTATCAACCCCTCGAATAGTCACATTAACGTTCAGCCATATAAAGCGCTGCCATTGGTCATAATCGACGTTTGCTGAGGACAGGCGATGCGGTAGCAGAAACCGTTTACTAATTCTACAGTACAGTATTAGTCACGGCAGGGTTGTCCATGCTGATGACGATGGTCATTGCTTACGAGCAGCAGTATACTTGCAATCCTAACCAGAGTATACGTGTTGTAGTCTCGGCTATCACGTTGAGGAGGCGGTACTACTCCACAATTCAATTTTTGCCCCCTCCCCCACATTCGTTAGGTGCATTAACAGTAGACAATCTGACCGGAATCCCTAAAACTCCAAAGTCGATCAAGAAATATGCGCCCTGGACTCTTTCTGCTGCTGGTTTTAGCCGGTTTCGTGACATGCTGTAATAACATCGTTGTGGCTGAGAACCTAGCTCAGACTAGGAATGTGGCTGCGGATTCGAAGAGTATTCCTGACGAAGTGGAAGACGAAGAGAGGCTCCTGGATCAAGAAGATCCAGGCGTACATTGCGAGACAAGCGGTCAAATCAAACGAAGCACACAAAAAGAAATGGGAGAAAGAAGCACTGAAACATATCGAAAGTCACATCCGTCGCTAACTGCGCGTTCAAGTGCACCAAATGTTCGAAGACGCACTCCTATTGTCCACCTGTCGAGACGACCACAACGACTTTGTAGGACCAAATATACCGAGTGAAGAAGGCTTCAAGCCGTTTGCATGCTTTTTTACTTCTATAAGCAAAACAACTTTGTCAACAAAAAATATCTGTTCTATTGTGCAAACTAGATACTGCTTTTTTAGGTTCGCTAAGAATTCTAATTAAACTACAAGTTTCCAGTTTACCAATTGGTGCCTACCATCGTGCAAATGACGTGATCTAATTTAAGGCTGTGTGGAGTCACACCATTTTTAATTTTAGGCTACGGCATTTGGCGATTTGCACGAAAAAGCCACTTTTCCCACGACTCGCATTTCTGCCCATCACACTTTTCAAGCAGGTTGCAATCCTGGTCAAATACATAGAGCCCGCAATTCTCGCGTCTGACGCCGAGAATATGCAGAAGATTGGCGTAAATTTTGTACTGAATAATCAAATAAAATATCAGTGCAATGGATTTGCGTTTTTTTTTTGCTTTACGTTGTGCACTTATGCCCTGGCACTGCTGATATGGTCCGCCCTGCCGAATTGGAGGTGCACAACTGTAGATCAGTCGTTTTTTTAAACCAAGATTTAAAACCGACTAGAAAATATTTAAAACGGTCTTTTATCAAGGTTTGCATTTTTAAACCATTAGATTTGTTTCGAGAGCGAGTAAACGTTCGCCGAAGCGAAGAAAGGCACAACACCGACCGCCAGACACAAATCAAAAACTAGAGCGACCGATTTAATTGTAGTGTTGGCATTGCGTGATCCTATGGAGAGATTCTATCTAAAACTCCTCGTGAGGCGGAAAGAGAATGGCACCCGGCATGCTTGTAAGTGCCAGCGCAGCAGCAAGTACTTCCTACTCTGGAACTGCTGTTCTCGATGAGCGCGCTCTAGCCAACCAACATACAGCTCACTATAAGTGAACTCCGCATCACAGTCGCAATCTGAGAGGCGTCGGGGGGGGGGGGGGGTTGAGACGAAACTAATCTGTATCCGACCAAAAAATTTAAGAATATCCAACAAATTGGTTTAAGATCCAAAATTTTCATAAAAGACCATTCCATAAGTAAGCGGGTTCTTCCAAATAGTATAACTCTACTACCGTAGTAGTATTTAAATTTCCTAAAATTACGTACTGGTTTAAGCAATTCCGATCTGATTATGTTATTTAGGGGACCACGATTTTTTTATCTAAAATAATATCTGCCTTTATTTTTTTAAAAAGAGCGGAAATTGAACCTGTATTCGCTTCAGGTCAGTGCACATTTCCGGTCTACCCAGCTCTATATTAAGAGATAGAGTTTAGTCCGACTTACCGGACTCAATTTTGAGCCGATTCCAATCAAACTTTTAATTGCATTTTACGTGCTGATTGGCTGTGAGAGTGTAGTGTCTTTCGACCCTAAGGTGTTGCTTGAGAATCCGACTCTCTAACTTAGAGCTAACATGAATTATGATATTCCATGTATGCACTGTAGTCTATGTCATAGTGGCTTCAGCCACTCTTCTTCGTAATGTATGCACTATACTGAGATCAAATGATCTCAACCTTGTCCCATACTTCTTACTGTCGTCCAATATATGCTTTTCGCGTACGAGATCGTGTTAATCATGAGCGATGTGTCTGCTGTCGTCAGGAAGTGTCTTTCTGCCACTACATCGCCCTCCAAGCAGACGTTCATGCACGCGGTGCCTTCAGGTTTAAGGAACCTTGTTGTCCTGACGTTTCTTCATCTGCTTGTGACCACGCTCCATCATAGCTGGAGCTAATATAGCTCGAAGAGAGCTCTTGCGGTTCAATGTCCACTTTTGTATTTTGCTGTCATTGATCGCATCGATGTACTCCTGTACTTTCAGTGAAACAACTTCGTACATAGTCTGGATAGGCTCCCAGAAGTCTTCTATGGCCTCCAATCTTTCCATGCTTATGAGTAGCTCGACCTTACGCGACGGATGCTCACGATGCTGCTTAAAAGCTTCAACTGTAAGGTACACATTCTGATTCGCAAAGTGCTCACAAGTCTCCTCGTTGACGTCAAGGCTGCAATCCGCGTACAGCTTCAGACCGGATGCATGCACGTCACGCGTTCCTCCACTAATCATATGTTCAATCTCAAATGAATTGGACTTACAACCAATCATATGATACGGACCAATCCACTTCACGGATAACTTGTTCACACGTGTCTTTGCTTGGGCACGAGACCACAGAACGAAGTCACCAACATGAAAGCTCACTGATTTTGCACCTCTCTGGTTGCTTTTGTTGCGTTTGGTTTGCTTCTCTTTTGCACTTTCAATGGCATACCATCGATGACAGCTCTCAAATTGGCAACCGCCACTCTAACCCCCGGCACTGCATCATCCACCGCCAAGATATTATCTGTCACCGCCTCACTGCCTGCCATTTGATACTTTCAGCAGCGGTGTAGTCACCACAGCACCAAGGAGCACCTCGGCTGGCGAGTATTTGCCATTCGCCAATGATGTCACAGAGATATGATTTAGGTTTGCCTAAATAAGAGGCAGAATTGTGGCCCAATTCTCTTGTTGCACCCTGTATTCTAACATCATGACTCGAAGTACTTGAAGTACATCTCCGTTAAGTCGCTCGATACTGCCATTTATCCATGGACAGTGCGCCAATGTGAAGCACTGAGTCATATGAGTCTTATGGCACAGCTCCTCCAGTAGTTAATTCCTGAAATGAGCTCATGTATTGCTGATGAGTATCTTGGGCATGCCGTAGCGACTTGTCTAATCAAGGACGGTCTTAGCCGCAGCTGCCGCGTCGGCGTTAAGCACTCAATCAGCTCACAGAAGCGAGAGAAACGCTTCATTTCTCTCGTTGGAACAATATATTTCTCCCCATGGCCTTGGTATTATGTCACCACTCTTGACATGGCAACATAACAGGCAACTTGCGCAGAACTCGCGTGCTTTTATTTCCAAGTTCTCGAGTTTTGAAGTGCCTTTGGAGGTGGTCTTCACCCCTTGATGGCCCATTGTTCCGCAATGGGCGATCACCATCAGCCGCATCAAACGCGTGCCCACATCAGGCGGTATCCATAGGCGGCTAATATCATTTTGCCATCCACCTTCTTTCAAGCCGGTTGGGCTCAAACTCTACGTTTGTCTCTGGGCTGTTTGAATGTTATTCATATTAGGCCAGTCAGAGTCGGGGCCGAGAGGTCAAAGCTGCGAAGCACCTTCCACGACACCTCCAATCCATCGTTTCATTGACATCTGCGTTGCTGTTGCATTAGTGCAGGCCCAGCGCTAAATCATGTCGGTCCAGACGTTCTCTTCACCACTGATGTGCTCTATGGTGTACCGAAGCTCATTGAGTTTGAGACTCCAACGTTGTAGTTTGCCGCAAACATGCTTCTTAATTGCATCGCCTGGTGCAAACATGAAGATGAGATTGCGATGATCGGAGTACAAATAGAATTCTTTTGCTCGTATCAATAGGTAATCCAAGTCAGCTGCCGCCTTTATGATCGGGAATGCTTCTTTCTCTGACACACCCCAGTGTTGAGAAGCTTCAGTGAAAGTCCCGCTCAGCAGTATACTAACGTATGATGTTGTTTAGTAATGTAAGTCGGCGGATTTGAATCATGAACGCCAATGATGATAATGCTCCATACAAGGTCACTAGCGTCTGTCATCAAGCAGATCTCGTCCTGGTCATCGGGGCCCCCCGACGTGGCTGAATTGGCGAGCAGCCGCTTCACCTGAGCAAACCTGGCTCGTCCTTCCTTGTTAAGAGTGATAAACAATCGGGCTGCAGCATGTTTCGTTCGTTTAGTACCTGTTTGTACCTCTCGCAGTCGACTCTGTAATGGCGCTGCAGTGCGAACGAAATCAGCTAACGAATTGCGCATCCATCCTGTCGCACATATGAACTGTTTTAACGCGGCAGTCGTCGTCGGTTCAGGCATGTCAATCAGGGTTTGTATCTTAGAAGGATCATACGCTACACCTTCGTTGGTGATAATACGGCCACACCACTTCGCGTTCTGGGTGTACACGCACACTTTGTCGAGACCCGAGACCAGACCATACTCAGCTAGAATGCTGTATACACGATCGAGTACCTCGAGAAAATCATCAATGGTATCAGCGTAGATTAGTAAATCGTCCAACCCACGCTAGTACATGTTCGTACAGCAACTTCTTTTTGGGGAGATTTTTCTCAACCGATTGCTGAAAATGAAATCGACGACGTGAAATACCATCTTCAGTCATGTACGATTGGGATTCTTGACTAATGCGTGCGAGCGCCATCTGCCAAAAGCTCTTGATGAAATCCACCGTTTGCTTGTGTTTTTTTCTGCTTAACGTGCTGTAGTCGAGTACTGAGATTCGGCATCAGACCCGCTAATGGCACAACACAGGCGCTAACACGTCGAAAATCAACCGCTTGTCGAAGCTCGTGTGCCTTTCCAGGTCGCTTAACTGGTCGTGTGGGACTTGCCCATCTACTAGTTTCATTCCTGTATATCCAGCCTCGCTCCACCAGCAACTCTTTAAATTGCTTCATCCACTCACATGCATGCGGAGCATACGTACGTGGTTTGCATCGAACTGGCTGAGTTCCCTCTTTAAACTGAATCACGAATGGTTCAATTCTTGATGGCGGGTCGTTGCCGATAGCAAGTCACCAAATGTCATAGCGCGTGGTAGCCTCGAGCAGATCCCGCTTTGTTTTCGCTGGAAACCCGTTTGCCCCAGCCTCGTTTATCAGCTCGCAAAGGCGCGCAATAATTCGTTTCTTGTCCGGAGGATCAAAGCTCAGAGACTGTAGATTCAAAGGGATCATAATCCACCACCTCTTTATTGGCTAATGCTGCTAGCTGCTCGTCAACATTGATTCCTAGAGTCTTCAGAGTTAAATTTCTCAAGAGAAACGCATCTTTGTCTGTCTCCGTAATTATGCATGTTTCATCACGCATCCTCACTTTCCTGCCACCCTGAGAAGCTCCAGATCCAGTCGAAGGGACTCGTTGCATGTGATGAGTGCACCTTTTAACGCGTTACCTTCAATCTATTTCGAGATCCACTGTATCTTCACACTTGGACACTGTAGTTGAGTCTCCTCAACTATATGTCTAGGAACAACGTTGTACTTCGTACCATTATCGGGATGATATGGTTTCGTCACCGCCTGATTGAAAGCTACATGTTTTGGCTCGAGCTCTTCACCTTCGCTGATTAATCGCTTCATCTTCGCAGAATCACCTTCTACACGCTTCTCCATAAAGATTCTGCTCTTCCGTCGCTGTTGGGCAATCACTATTCCATTGTTACCCCTTGCAGTGCAAGCACTCTTGTGCTGGAGCGCCATCGCGTTTTCGGAATGGTGGTCGCTCATCTCGACCCTCATCACGTGGAGGAGCTGGTCGACTGCTGCCTTGAAATGTGCTGCTGTCACGTTGTGTCAGCCGTGTTGCCGACTTAGACTGACCTTTATCCTTATTGGACAGGTAGAGATTGAATGACTGCTGATTTTTGAGTGCTTCTGCCTTCACCACGTCAAACAAGCGCGTCGCACTTATCTTCACGGTCGGATCTAGGCCCTGATAGAGCTGGACTTGTTCTTTAAGTGTTGGCGGACGCAGATTATCCGTGAGTAGTCTGCACTTTAACTTCTCATTTCCGTCCAATGCGATACTAAGCCCGTATTCCTCGATGAGTTCATCAAAGCGGTCAAAGTAATTATGCACTCGAAATTTGACGTCTTGCTGCTTTAAATCAATCTTCAAATGTTGACTCGTTATGACGTGCACATTAGGTATCTGATCGTTCATGATGCTGCTTAGATTTGTTTGATAGTCGTGACCAGCTTCTCGTTGATCATCTCTTCGATTGGAAGTTTCAGCTCGAGTTCACTGAATGTCTTCAGCAGGCGTCCGTTAATCGTATTGATGGCCAGGGTCATCGCAGTCGCTGATGTCTCGCCTGACCCCTGGCAGCGTGAGCTGACCGCCGCCTCATATCGCTCTCGCTCGTGTCTCCATTTCACCAGAGCCTCGTGCGAGAAACACACAATCTCAGGCGGCTCCATTGCTGTCTACATCTTTGTCGTAGCTCGTGCCGTTACTTCAGCATCCTCACCTGCTGTGCCCACTCGGCTTCGTTTTTGGGGCCTACCCATGGTCCCGGCGCTTGGATCGGTGCCCACAGCTAAAGCTAACTTTGTAGTGTCTTTCGACCCTAAGGCGTTGCTTGAGAATCCGACTCGCTAACTTAGAGGTAAAATGAATTCTGATATCCAATGTATGCACTGTAGTCTATACCATAGTGGTTTCAGCCACTCTTCTTCTTCCTAATGTATGCACTTTACTGAAATCAAATGATTTCAGCCTTGTCCCATACTTCTTACTGATGTCCGTTATATGTTTGTCGCGCACGAGACCGTGTTGATCATGTGCGATGCGTCTGCTGTCCTCAGGAAGTGTCTTTCTGCCACTACAGAGAGGCAACCTCCGGCGTAAAAAGAAAAACTATTATGGTCCATTTGGTGCGTGGAGCTGCATGTTTGCTCATAAATAGTGCACAAACTGACCCTCAGGAGTGTCAATGCTTGGTGCCTTGATATTAGAGCTTCGCTAAGGAATCTTTCCCCCTATAGGGGCTCAATGAGTGATGTAAAGTGCACCGATTTTTTTTCAACGCGCAAAATCGATAACTACTTTTTACTATCTTATTTTTTTTTTGATGAAAACCGGTACAGCGACGGATATCTGCACATGATTGTGAGACATCCGGCCTTTACTGTACTTTGATATTTGTATGGGCGTTTATGTGACCGGACAAATGCCTTAAACGGATACTAGAATGGCATCTGCTCCCGAAATCCATACAGTTGCCCGTTTGCATTGACATCGTAAACCTAAGACTAACATACAATAAATCCTGTGTATACATGGCGAAATTGCCAGCTTAGTAGTCCTCTTGGAGTGGCAGCACAATGTCACGGGACAGGGATGTATGGGGTCGTCCCGAAACGTTAAAATCTAAGGAGGCAATTTTCCCCTCCCTCCCATATTTTATCGACGGGAAGCTGCAGTAAGTTAAAGATTCCCGAGCGAGGCCGTCGGCCGGGGCCTCACGCGCGGTGAGATGTAAACGGTTGTAAAAGTGAAGCGTGTGGAAAGTAATTAATGCCTCCTACTCCGCAAATCCGAAAGTGAATCTAACCAACTAACCCAGTACGCGTCGGACTTCGACGCGTTCCTAAGCATGACACCTCCTCCTCTAGTACCAATAGCTACCCGAGAGGCGACACCCGCTCTCATTGTAGTGACAACCCACCTTCTTCACCGCTAATGTGGATCCTTACCTCGCTTGTCATCCGTCCTTGAACTTGGTGTCATTTCAGGCACGTAGCTCGCACGATTCCCACGACGAGGACGCGCTCCCTCGAGTCATGTCAGTTTGGCAGATGAATAAATATCGTGAGAACAAAAAGCAGATAACTCCAAGAGTGATTAGCATATTGAGACCACTTTGCGCCAAAAGAAAGTGGAAACGCTGGTCGTTTTTGTGTGCTTTGTTTTGCATATTAAGCTGCCGGGTTGATGCTAAAACGAACAGAGCGTCTCGTTTACTCTGAATTTCACTATGTCACACTTGCTCGTTTGATAGTTTTAGGGCTAGGA